TGTCCTGCTGGAGTGTGTCCTGATTTGTTTGTGTACAAACTAATAAGGTATCAGAATTTTATATATTTATACTTCTCATTCAACCACAATTAATTCACTCTATCTAGGAGGCACAGTTTATATGGATATTATTTATTTTTTACAATAACAAGCTGGAATGAAAACAAGCAAAAATGAAATAAAAATAACGACTTTCTACTTCTTGCCTTTTTAAAAAAATGTAAGGAGTAGAAAGTGCAGATAATTGTGTGCAAATGTAAGAAGTAGAAGTAAAAAGTAGGCTGAAAAATAATTACTGAAGTAAAGTACAAGTACCCAAAAATTCTACTTAAGTACAGTAACAAAATATTTGTACTTAGTTACTTTACAACTCTGCAAACAACCGTGATCGCATCTCGACTGTTCGGCTTCAGATGGAGAATATGGAGCCCTTAACATACAGTACCTAACTCACAAATGTAGAAAAAACAAAAACAAAACAAATACAATGAATTATTAATTCTAGTCTCCAAAAGGGATATATTATGCAAAATCCACATTTTTATTGTTGATGGGATGGTCCTCACCTTTTGGCTCCTCTGTTGATCCCCCCGGATACGTTTGTTTGAGAAAAGCTATGCTGGAAGTCAGTTTATGATAAAATGCAATTTTATTACACACCAAATAATAGAGGGAAAGACTGTTTACAGCAATTCTAAGAGCTCTCACAGAGACRGTAAAAGCAATGTAAGCATAACATCACCTGAAGACAGAGTGTGTGTCTGCAGCCCCAACACCGTCTGAGGTTTCACAACCAGAGTGCTATTCTCCCCCAGACTTACAGTTACCATACATGGGCATGCACTGATAAGATACACACACTGTCTCAAGGTTGTTTAGCTACAAAATCAGTGATTTCATAACTGTTGAATACTTCTAAAGTGAGAGCTCTTTTATGGCTTCATCAGGATTTAGCTTTAACTGTAATAATAATAATAATAAAACAATGTTTACTTACTTAATAATGATAAAACAAATGTGGCCAAATGGCAAGGATTGACTGAACACTAAAAAATACTGCAAAGCAAAATATAGATAAGCTTCTAGCATATAAAAGTAAATAGAAGTTTAAATGTATTTCACTGTTAAATGCATTTTGTTGTGCATTTAGAGTCTTTAGGAGTGCAAAAAATTAGGATTTATCCCTGTGATGCATGTATCTTTCTGTTTGGGTCATATTTTTTATATTTGTAAATAAAATGTTTCTGTGCCGCTGTATACCCCTCTGTCAAACTGGAGTTGACCAGTCTGGAAGCTGGAGGGAGGGCGGGGTGTAAAGCACCTAGTTTGGATTTAAAGAGACAGCCTCCAAACGAGTTGCTTTGAGGGGCTTGTGGAGTTACCATGAGAAAGAATTCAGACCAAAGCATTGCAGTTCCACTTTATATAGACCCCAACTGAATGATTTAAAGATGGAAAATGAAGGATTTAAAAGCATGATATGTTTTAAGGGGAAAACTAGCACGCCGTTTCCATCTTTCAGCCACCAACAAAGTGCGGATGCTGGAGGACGGGGTGACCGAGAGGATAAAGACTCTGCTGCGCACCGACATGCCGCCAGTTCAGTTCAAACTGCTGGGGACACTACGCATGATGGTGGATGGACAAGGTGACAAAAGGCAACCGCACACAAACACACACACACACACACACACACACACACACACACATGGAGGAGTGCGAGGGGCTCGTTGGGGGAAATCCAAACAGACAAATTAAATTAAAGCAACACAGAGAGTCTAAATTGTGGTTCACAAATCACCTGCGGTCAGATTTAAAAAGCTTGCTTACACACAAAACGAGGCCAGAGCTTTTGTACGCCACTTTCCACACAAAGTTCTGATTTATTAAACCTAAACTTGGCGTGACAATATGCRGTCACTCGCGCCAGCACTGACTTATACATACACTCATTTTGTAGACAGGAAGCTGACGACACAGATGGTGAAGGGAGGAATTAAAGCCACACTGTGTAATGATCACCCTCAGATATTTAATTTCACTTCTTAGTCAAACTTAGATTTCAGATCAACTTGCCTTTATAAATAATCAAATAAATAAATAAATAAATTCAAATTAAAGTTCACGCAACACTTCATCTACATTTTTCCACCATCACATTCCTCACCCTGGAGGATTACCAGGATGACGARTACCACAGATTAACACAAAATGTGACAAGGAAGCAATCAGAGTGACTGATGAAAATATTTCAATGCYGTGTTGCCACTCGCAGCACTTCCTTTTATTTGTAACATGGCTCCCAAAAGTAATATATTTTCTGTTCTTCACCTCACTCACCAGCACATTGATTTCTGCCTCCGTAAAATTTTATTTATTTGCTGTTTTGCCTGTGGTTGCCATTGTTAATCATGAGATCACATTGATCAGCTGGCTTGTTTCAATACACATTAAAATTCATGAGTTACTTTGCATTAACTGTTTATAGCTGAGTGTGGGCGTGCAGAGGGCAGAATCTGAGGCGGGACCTTGTGCACAAACTCTGAGGTGCAGCTGTGATCTATAAAGGAAAAATGCTTGGAGGTGCACGCATGGTTTTATAAATCACCTTTTGGATGGACGTAAACTTTAGTGCAGGGCTATTCAACTGGTGGCCCGCAGGCCACATCCAGCCCGCGAGTGACAAAGGTTCGGCCCGACAATTGGTTCATTCAACTCTTAAGCCCAAACCCCCCTGGTTTTCTACTTTAATTACTCTAAGTTCTTTTAGTTAATCATAGACATGTTTACAGAAACGTCAGAATCTTGGCTAGAAGCTGGTAAAAACCATTTCTATGAATATCCAAGACAGTTAAAACTACAAACAGTTGAATATAAACCTATAACAGTGAAAATAAAATTTGTTTAAAAAGTTGTCAGTTCAGAGATATTAAAATAATATTTGTGTCAAATAGGAGGCATAATGTGTTCTTTTTTATTTTGTTTAATTATCACTACTTTATAGGGTTCTGTATGTTGTATTCCTGATTAAATGCAGCAAAATAAACAATTTCAAAAGGTAACAGATCTTTGTAATACTTGGTTTATTTACAGAATAACTTTATTTGCTGGATATTCGGCCCCTGAGCTGTTGGTCTGCATTAACTGTGACCCCTGGAGGAATTTAGTTGAATAGCTCTGTTTTAGTATGAATTATACATAATCCTTTATAAACGATGCAAGCAGATTTATGAGCATTTTTTTAACTCCCTGAGGTTTCCCGCTCATCCAGCAGCACCTCAGTGTGTGTCTGCAGGAAGTCCTTGAGAACGGAGATAGATTAGAATCCTTTGATGTTTTTCTTTTCTTGTTCCAGAGGAGGCAGCCTTAAAGCTGGGGAAAGATGCCGAGCTGCTGGCACGAGTCCTGGAGTGGTGCGAGGCCAAAGACCACGCAGGCGTCAGAGGAGAAGCCAGTCGCCTTTTAGCCGCTCTGGTCCGACACAGCCGCAGTCCGGTGAGTCTGTCCTCCCCGACCGGAGCGTTGGCTCCAGCTGGAGCTCAAATGTCTTCCAGATATAGTCAGTGACAGGTCTGACGGGCTGATTCCCTCTGTCTGACAGGAGGTCRTCCGGGCCATAGCCAGAGCAGATGGGGCTCGACACCTCATCGYCATGGCAACGAGTGAGCACGTCATCATGCAGAACGAGGCCCTGGTTGCCCTGGCGATAGCATCTGCTCTTGACATAGGTAAAGCAGTTTTTTGTGCACTTGTTCATYGTTATCCTGTCATTAAACCTTGATCAGGTGCTGGAAAAGTAGAATAAATAAGAAAACATGAACTATATGAAAGAAAGCTGGAATTGTTTTAAACAATTGGCCAGTGGTGGTGGACTGGTTAGAGGAGTCGTCCTGGAAACAGAAAGTCGCCGGTTCGATCCCCCGTCCTGCCGTTTCAGTCGTTGTGTCTATGGGCAAGACACTTCACCTGCCTTGCCCACTGATGGTGGTCAGAGGGTCCGGTGGCGTCKGTGCATGGYAGCCCCACCCAGGGCAGCTGTGGCTGGAACTGACCACTATCAGTGAGTGAATGRGTGAATGGGTGAACGCCTGAAGTGGAAAGTGCCTTGGGGTCCAAGTGGTTTTGATAAGGCGTTATATAAATTCAAGCCATTTACCATTTTACAAATCTTTTGCCAATCTTAGAGTCACCCTTCCCTGTATTATTACCTGCTGCCATAAAAAGCAGCTGATCGTATACAGTCTGTGCCTGTGTGTCTGTCTGTTAGCAAAATATCACATGAACCAGTGAACAGTTCTTAGTGAGACTTTCAGAGTACATCTGCAACTTTTCTATGGAGCCAACCCAATTCAAGACAGCCACAACAATGACCAAATTCTGACCCTACCACCCGAATGTCGCAGCAGAAATYGAGACTCATCAGACCAGGCAACGTTTTTCCAATCTTCCATTGTCCAATTTTAGTGAGCCTGTGTGAATTGTAGCCTTAGTTTCCTGTTCTTAGCTGACAGGAGTGGCACCAGGTGTGGTCTTCTGCTGCTGTAACCCATCCACCTCAAGGTTCGATGTGTTGTGTGTTCAGAGATGCTCTTCTGCCTACCTCTGTTGTAACGAGTGGTTATTTCAGTTACTGTTGCTGTTCTATCAGCTTGAACCAGTCTGACCATTCTCCCCTGACCTCTGGCATCAACWTTTCCGCCCACAGAACTGCCGCTCACTGGATATTTTCTCTTTTTCAGACCATTCTCTGTAAACCCTAGAGATGGTTGTGGGTGTAAATCCCAGTAGAAAAGCAGTTTCTGAAATACTCAGACAGCCCGTCTGGCACTAACAACCATGCCACATTCAAAGTCACTTAAATCACCTTTCTTATCCATTCTGATGCTCAGTTTGAACTGCAGCAGCTTGTCTTGGCCATGTCTACATGCCTAAATGCATTGATTTGCTGCCATGTGATTGGTTGAATCCACGTTTGTTTTAATGWGCAGTTGGACTGGTGTACCTGATAAAGTGGCCGGTGATACCTCGCTGGCTGACCCTTGTTTAGAGGTAGAAATTAGGTCCTTACAGTGCTGGCTCTAGCCATTTTGGTGCCCTAGGCGAGTTGAAGCGCAACCCACCCCAACTATGTCCCACCCACCCCAATTTGAACCCCTAAAAAAAAGTTTGACAGTGTCAGGTACTATGGTAAACTTAGATTTGTTGGCTCCCCCTCCATCCCCTGGTGCGAGTTGTGTGGATTTTTTGCAAAAATTACGGATTTTTGAGGCTATTTATACAGGTAAACGTCCGAAGAGGTTGGCATGTATGGGACAACAAAATACAGACTTGCTGTTATTCAGTTTGTCAACATGAACCGCTACCTGAGAGGCACTAGCCCCTCCCCCGTCAGAGTGTCGGAGCAGGAYGAGTCAGTGCAAYGTCAATCAAATGAGAGAGAGGGTGGGGGCGATTGCTGCATTGGGGGGGGGRRATKTGTTATGGGTAGAGTAGTTTATTTTTCCTGTAATACTTCATTATATATTTTTAAGACAAAGCTAATTGAAAGGGGCGCTGAGCAGAGTTACAACCAGGGATTACAAATAATTACTTTTTTTCTTCTGCAGTTCGGCGCCCCTCCAGCAGATGGAGTTCTAGGCGACCGCCTAGTTCGCCTATGCCAAGAGCCGGCTCTGGGTCCTTACAATTAACTTCCAGCATTCATTTAACTATTTTGACTTAAATTGTCCTTTTCTGCTGCCACGTGCTATCCTGCTTATGCTTCACCAGGGGCTGCACCGTTAGGAGGCGAGTCCCTGGCAGTAAAAAGACRTTTATTTTTTTATTCCTCATATAATCTTAATGTTTTTCATAATTAAATTGCTCCCGCTTTGCTTTTTCCCAGAAAACAGGCAGAGCGGTGGAGTACAGAAGCTCATGGAGAAAAGGGGAGGGGGTTTCTGCTTGACAAAACACATGGTTCCACCAATGTAACATGATGATGTCATCGCGTACGGTGACGTGATGACGTATTTCCCTACGTGATTACACAACTCGTTCAAAATGGAACGGCTCTTTTGAACGGCTCGATGAAACAAACAGTTCCTCAAGCTCCAGATCCCCACAAAGACTTTCGGCTACCACACCAAATTTGAGCTCAATATTCATGAAATTGCCTAAGTTACAACGATTTTTGTGTTTGCTAAAGTCAGTTAGCTACAGCAGCCATCGTTAGTAAATCAGCTGCAGATGCACAGAGAATAATAAACTTTCAAATCCACAATTCTTGATCCTTTTTCACTATTTGTTAAATTAAACTGCAAACAGAAATGAAAAACATACCCTGCCAGATATAATTAGGAAACACTGAGACACTTCTCAGAAACATGCAATATACTGTATGAGCCAACAGGTATGAAATTTGAATAATGTATACCGTTAGAGATGCATTTATTTGTTTATTAATTTGTTTGTTTGTAAACACTTTAGAGTCCATGAGGGATCCACTTAAAGAGGCCGAGCTGTTACCAACCCTAAAGAAGATCCTGGACGACCCTGTAGGGGCAGTTGAGGTCAAGTTCAGTGCTTTGGGTCTCATCTGCACCCTGGCTAACTCCAGTAGGTGTTTTCATGCTTTTACGACACACTAAAAAAGTCATAAATTTGTTTTCAAGATGAACTTTTAATTTATTTTTTGCACACAACAACTGTAATGAGAGTGTCAGTAAAATGTAAACCCCTTGAGGATAAACTGCAACAGGGCAGATCATAACAGCATGTTAGCTTTTCGTACCATTTAACCGAAGTTTTCATACAACGTCAACATATCTGTGGTCCTGTATATAAAGACGTCCCTGATTCGCTCACCACAATCTATTAGAATATGTTTGGATTGTGGAAAAATGGACAAACCTTCATTATGAAGCTCTACTGCCACTACCAGGTTGTTGATTTGTCGTATCCCAAGCATGAGCCCTGTGGCCAGTCCTGCTTGAATTTCAAGCTGATCAAGCTATGCAAGTGAATGCAGCCCTGCTTGTCATAGATACAGTACCCCCAAACTGCTTCATGTTCTACGATGGGGCTCGAAACATTGCCATCATGATGGTAAACCACTATGACCTTACTATGGAAGTTTTACGCAAGCTCAAGACCCTCCATAACCTACCATGTTTGCTCGCCTAAAAGATAGTTCCTAATGCACATCTGAAGACCTCGACAAGACCCTGCAAAGATTTTTACATTGCAGTGGGATTGTTGTTTAAAGTAGGTACTGTATCTCACTGAGCTGCAAACATGAGGGAGTCACCCGGCTGAACGTCTCCATGTCTTGCACATTTTTTAGCTCACTTACGTGCAGCCTCGCCCCTTGGGTTTTGAACATTCACCAAAAATATTTGTGAAGCAATTTTTATCTCGAAATAGTCACAAACATGGCAAACATCAAGGCTTAAAACCACACTGATGAGAAATAATAATTCTCGAAAAACTGATCCAAATCTTCCTTTCAAAAGTAGATTAAATCATGATAGTCAATGAAATAACGTGCGTGGCCTAGAATAAAAATTTGCGAGTTGTGCTAACAGAAATGAGCAGTGTTTTTTTTTAATAATTGGCGTGCAAATTTGGCGTCATGATTTTGATTACTTTGTTGCAAATGCAGAATTCAATGAAACCAGAATCAAAAATTCAAATATTTTCAGCTATTTCGAGTGTCTAGTATCCAACACTCAGTGAGATACTGTTTTTTGTGTGATGGGAGCTCAGATCGGTCTCCTGCTGGTAAAACAGTGACTGCACATAAATACTACCAGCTTTTAAAAACACAACATCTAAATCAAGAAGGCTGACACAACTAACCTATCTTTGCCAACACAAAGTCAGTTATAACTTATTGAAAAGTTCCGATAATGAGGTAAAATTTATGTGGTTGGAGCTGAGAGGCTTCCCTGTCACATAGCCTGCCTGAGCTGTAACGCTGCTGTGGCAGATGGCTGTGGCGGCCATCTTGATTTAAAACTCCACCTTGAAAGGCAGTGCTGTATGCAATGCTTTTCTTCCAGGACTGGTAGGTCCGTATGAAATTTGTACTTTGAGTACACGTCACTTTTGCAGTATGAAATGACGACCGTATCAGTCCATCCTACACTTCTGTGTTTTTGTCTTTATGATTTTGTGCTTCAGGTGTGATGAAGGAAGAGCTGAACTCGGTGAATATAAAGGAAAGCCTGAGTAAACTGACGGATCACAGCAGCAGTAAACTGGCTTCACAGGCCAGCTCCATACTGACCATCCTCAGTGACTCCAGTTAAACCAGCACTCTGCAGCAACAAGACAATCCAYCTGCTCCATGAATTTATCTGGATTGCACAATCAAATGATCTCATGGCTAAGACACTATATCTGAAATGTGACCAATATTGTAATATTGATAGCTGATGGACTCTWTTTAAATGCTGGAAAGATGAGGGTCCATGAGGGAAATATCAGTGGCCCATCAATATAGCTAACATTTTAGCTTCTTTGTTATCCATCAGGAGGAATGTATGGGTAGGTTTCTTCAGAAGGGTAATGGTGGAGAAGTAGTTGGGTCATATTTTATGACTTGATGGAATATTTATGAGTTAATATGAAATTAAATAGCTCAGACMAATGTATTTAGAGATTTATAAAAGTTTTTTTATTCTGTATATGACTAACAGGCAAGATTGTTTGACTGACTGATTGCTGAATGGACTAATCCAATGTTTATCATTAAAACTACATACAAGAATTTTACATTGCTGTAACAAAACAATCAATTTTGTTGTCATTAGAAAAAAAGAAGGTCCACCCCTTCTCCAGGTTTGTGGTTTTATGTGTCAGGACATAAAATCCAATCTTTACTGGGTTATAAAATCACTTAAATCAAATTTCATACAGACAAAAACACCTTTCCTGTTTTTGTTCAGCCCAGTGCCAAGACGGAAAGAAATCAGCAATGGCCTCAGAGAAGCAACAGTTGCTGCCARTCAGTCTGGGAAAGCCAACGGTTATTTTCAAACAATTTAAAATCTGTCATTGTACAGAGAGAAMGATTATTCACAAGTAGAAAACATGTAAGYCAGTTGCTAATCTTCCCAGTAGGGGCTGTCACAGCAAAAGCACCTGAAGGTTAGACTGCGCAATGCTCAGAATAAGGATGACAAAAGCTCCACCTCAGACTATACRGGCCTCAGCTAGCAWGTTAAATATKAAAGTTCCTGACAARACAACTAGAGAAAGATGGAAATAATGTGGCTTGTTTGACTGAGTTGTGAATTCCTCAAACAACATGGCAGTGTGATGTAGGTTTGTAAAGTTGCAGCTCACTGAACCACAGARCTTCTGAAACAGTGTCATTTGGGCAGATGAGACCAAAGTCAAGATATTTACCCACAATGCACAGCACCAAATATAACAGATGAGTACAAGCACCTCATACCAGTGGTCACGCACAGTAGTGGAGGGGGTGACGATTTGAACTTGTAGACTTTCTTCTTCTTATGACGAGATGAAAAAATAATGCAATAAATAAGTAATAAAATCAATAGCTGTCCCAGACACTCAWATTTACATAGTTTATGTGCAATTAAGAAAAAATGCTTTATTAAATAAAATCTTGTATTTATTTCTGTTGATTTTATTGTATTGTTTCTATTTAATTTATTTGTTTTAAGGGACTCTCATTTTCCAGTTTTATGTGTTATTTTACAGCTGCTCTTATTTTGACTGCTCATTTTGATATAAGGCATGGTTACCCAATTTCAACCATGACACTGATACTTAACCCTGAATTATCATCCACCACTGTGTGAATGCTGGACAAGCATAGCAGTTTAAATTTTCAATTTTAATWAAAAGAAAAAACACTTATCAGAAGACAATCACTGGAGGTAACAAAACCAAAAAACAAACACACAGGGACTTGATAAAAGACAAGGAAACCTAGTGAATACTGTAAATACTGAAAGAGAGAATGACTGAACATTTGCAGGTGTGAGAAGGAAGTCGTAAATACGAAAAAAAAATGTATTTACACGTTGATTTAAATATTTTGCTCAAATACTTCTGTCTCAGCCCCCATCTCAAAGCGTAGAAACCATTAGAAAATCAAAATCCCTTAGAATGTTTAATACTCATAAATTACCTGTAAACATTCAGGTAAATTCTGCTAAAAGACAGTCAATGTAATCAGAGAATAAATAAATAAAAAAAACTATTTTGAATGACTTTAAAGGAACTCTGTTTTTCAAGGAATAAATTCATGATAACGAAATTAAAACTTCCAGAACAAGGTGTCTGTTTAAAAAGATGATAAAAAGAAGTTTATTTTAAAAAAATTAAGTATCGACATAAATTATTGTTTAAATAAGATGGGATGGACC